GGGGGTTTTCTTCACTCATTAGAAAGAAAGATAAAAGGCTTTGTCAAAACAATGCTTAAAGGGACAGTAAGTACCCCTTTATGCAAAGATGGCAATGCAATGCCCGAAATCACATATTCATGATATTCTGTAAAATTGCAGTACGTTGTACATATTAATGATTTAATGTTGTAAACTTAGACATAATGACATTATTCATTGAAACTGTGTTTTAATTGAATACTTAACATGATTAGCTTAAATCATGCGACATACTTAAATTACGCTATAAACCATACGTAATATGATGGTCTTAATCATGTGATAACGATATCATTGTAGAAATTGTAACTGTGTCAATTCCTGTTAACTTAGTTAGTTGATTGAGACTCTGCTTTGATTACGGTATTAGAAATAATTTGGTTCTTGTTGAAACATACGAGTGGAGATCATACCTAGAGTATTGGTATTGATCTATTGATTGCTAGTGTCTGTATTGGCATTCATAGCTAACAAGATCACGCCCTGTGAAGTGGTATTTATTAGTCATGGGATTGTAGCTGTGTGGATCGTGTCCTGGTTGAGACATTGATAATAAACGGATTGCTAGTGTCTGTATTGACACCGATAGCTAAGAGTGTGTCCTTGTGTGACATTGAAGCACTGAAACCCTGTGTTGATATATAACCAGGTTGGATCGTCACCATCATTTGGGAACGATATATGTATATAGTTTGTTGATAACTATGCTTGTGTCCCTGTGTGGCATTTAGAGTCTGGGATTCTGTCCTGGTAGAACACTGTATTAGTAGCAGGATTTTGATAGCTACGCTACACAACTCTGTGTGGCACTTTGAGCCTTGGATTCAGTCCTGGTTAAGTTTGATAGCGGATGGATTGTACCTGGATGGATACATTTCGAAAACTTGTTATGGAGTAGGTGTTTACTACAAGCTTTTGTACGATCATATATGAATTAATAAATATCAATTTTTATAATTTTGGGAACAGATAGTTATCAATTGTAGTTACTCTACAAACGTGACTTGCACATTTCTGCTGCATGACAACTTATAGAAGTTATCAGACTTATCTACTTTTACCTAGAACATCGACAATATCTTCCACATTATTTATTGCATGGAGGTTCATTTAAAATTACGCTCACAGTCCCTTTAATGCACACCTATGGATCAAAAATTATATTAAATTAACCACGAGCGCGCAGTTCAAGTGTGCACACAGCTCGTGACAATATGTAATGAATTAGCGTGGTAATTTATTACAGTGTAGAACATTAATGAGTAGATTTACTCCGTCCAATCAATATATTCTAAAGGGTGTCTTAAAATTAGGGTTTCCACGAAACAGTCAATTCTCTTGCGTAACTGTTGCGTGGTATCGCACGAAATGACTTTTTTGCACAAAATTCCGCATCATTTTCGTACCAATACGAAACCAATTTTGCACGAAATTGCGCATTCATTAAGGAAATGGTAGGAAATAAGAAAATACGCAAATACCACGATTTTCTTCAGATTTTGCGCGAAATAGCTTTTGTTCATCAATGCGCAAAAACATCGAAATTTCGTGCAATTTTTACTCGAAACGTAAGCAAATCTTTGCGCAATGTTTGCACGATTTTTGGTCGAAAATTTCGACTGGAAACCCTACATAAAATACAGTGAAAACTAGAAAACTGTGGAATAGGAAGACGACATGAAAGAAATATTTAAAAGTATTGGATGCTGTTACAAATCAAATAGTCTTATTAATTTACATAAAATTAAAATTGGTCGTTTACACTACAAAATTGCTCTGTTTCATGAATCATGGTCATTGCACGCATCTCTTAACCTTTCCTAAAGTCTGTCGTGTCAACCTTGTTGCACTAGCTAGTCCTATTGAGTGTCTGCTTTATTTACCTAATGTCTGGGTGATACAGTACAAACTGGGACTGGACCCGGCTCGGAAATTCAAATGTAATATGGCTACCCGTGATTGGACTATTTAAAGTAATAGCCATAGAGAATAGAATATATAGAGAGGAATTAAAAGAATCTCTCGGTATGAAATTTTTCAGTCCCTTTCAGCCTGAAAGGGAGTTCAAAGTGTACAAATCATGNCCAAAAAATGTTTTGCATTTGTCCACTTACACCCAAAACATAAAACCTGCAAACATTTTTATAATGTAAAGGAAATGCCCTCAAATATATCTTCTTAAATACTATTCTTGAAAAATGAACAAAACTATATAGGGATATTGATATTTGTTTCATATATTTTTTAACAGGAAATTGTTAAACTGACTTTTGTTAAAAACCTAATGTTTGTGTGAGGTCCTGTTTTGGGACTGAAAAACATGTGTAAAGTAAATATTTAAAAGATGTTTCCGAATCACGACAATCCTTCAAACCTAATCATGTTACATATACATATAATAAAGTGAGGCCCAGAAAATTGTGAGCTTGGAAGACGACCGTTAGACTCATTTCTTTAAACCATAATTTTGAAAAATAAATATGGACTCCTTTCACTGCTACTGGTAAAATTATTTACTTTGAAATTTTTATAAGATCATCTAATTAATACACATGAAATTGCTTTAATTTCGTAGTTCACAGTTTTACGGATCTCAAGGCAGTAATCACTGTATATTATTACATGTAATCTTGATTTTTGTGATTCATTCAAGATGGGTTGATTAGAAAAAACATTTTGAAAATCAATCTTTTCAATACATTTAAAGCTGTTACGTACACCGGAATAAGAGCTTGTCTAGACCACGTTGTTAATTCAACGCGGCAAGAAATCCACGTGAGGCGCACCTAGTAAATTAAAGTTGGCCAAACCAAACTTTTTAGAATTTCTTTAATTGCTACCATGCCGAGCAGGGGCACATACAAGAATTTGTCCAGGGGGGGCTTAGACCTTTTTTACTTCTCAATGTGGGGGGGGGGAGGCTAAGTCCAGGGGCGTATTCAGGAATTTGACCAGGGAAGGCTTGATTTTTTTTTCTTTTAAGGAGGGGTGGGGGGTCAGCAAACGTTGGGGCCTCAAAACCTACTGAAAATCATAGATATCACTGATCCAGGGGGGCTGAGCCCCTATAGCCCCCTCCCCTGAATACGCTTCTGGGTAAGTACCCGATTGTTTTCACTTAACCAAGGGGGGCATCCCCTGTATACGCCCCTTCTGCTGAGAATCGATGAAGGCCAGACAAAAAATAAATTATCTTTAAATTATTAAAGTTCTTAGATTCGGAAACGTTGATTGTAGACTATAGGAACTAGAGAGGGAGCCTCAAGGCAAATAGGAACAGAATGAATTAGACTTAAATAATATAAAAAATTATATGTGATATGGCCGAACACCGTTTATACAAATTAATAACATTGTTTGTATAAGTTTAATTTTTATAATATTAATTTTTTAATTTGTTATTGTTTGTCAATTAACTTCGATATATTTGGCTTGTCTTTCTATCCAATAAACGTAAAAACGGCTGAACCGATTGGGCCAACGTTTTTTTGATATCTCACAAGACTTCAAATATATGACATTTAACATTTTGCCTAGAAAAATGCCGAGTTTAAAATTTTTTTAAATCACATGCTCACAGAACAATTTGCCAGATTGTTGGTTTTATGATGTACAAAACAAAATGCGACTGAAAATCAATATTTAAGAGATCAAATTGTTGCTAGGAGAGGGGGCCAGGGGCGCGAAGCACTCAAGCCTAGTGTTGAAATAATTCAGAACAGATTGCATTCTTATTCAATATTCATACATTTAGTCTTGAAAAACTTCTTGCTATTTCAAGCATGCTAAAGCACAATGCTTATTCATATTTTTAAACGGGAAAAAATCTTATTTATACTCTCCGTTTGGTTTTAAGGAAGTGGAAGGAGTCTGGAGTACAAAACTTACTACATTGATTCTGATTGTAAGTTCAGCTTAGGTTATAAAATAGTTCTTAAGTTTTGTATTATCACTTTTAAATCTTTGCTCTGTTTGTAATTACACATTCAGTAGCTAATTATAATGCAGGCCTAAAACATACCGATTCAAGCATATGCATTAGACTAAATATACTAATATACTAGCATACAGGCAACCTTAGACCGACTAATTACTAGGCTTTGGCTAAAAGCAACCCATTAATAATTCTGACTTCCGGATCCAACATGACAAATTGTTCAAGATAAACAGTCATTTACAGATTAATTAACACAAAAATTTGACGGAGACATTTGTCAATCAAACTGCAAGACACATTTCAACTATCGCATTGTAAACTAAAGTCAAGTTCATGCGACATTACTGGTACGACTTTCTGATCTCTTAGCTCCTTGAGTTTTAATTTTTACATTCATATAATCGCCTACCACACTCTCCTCTAAACCCTACTATTACAGTACACTGCAGTACACACCGAAAGCTAAATTGAGGGTGATCACTGTAAGTCATCTATCCATGTGTAAATTAAGGTTTGTGATAAATATGAATAAAAAATTAGACTTTTCAATTTCTTTTTTAAAAGTGTAAAAAGAAAAGGTTTATTCAGAAAATTCGAATAATACGGCATGTTCAGGGTTATCTATAAAGGATGAGAATTCAGAGACGACTGTACGGAACTTACATATACTGTTTCCTTACATTTGTGATTCTCAGCAACTGTAAACTTGTCTCTCTCTTTGTCAAATTGTTATATAAGCAATTTTAAAAAAATGTTTAATGTAGTGGACTTAACTTAATCTTGGATCGTGATATCTGAAGAGTTTCTAGTCGTCTTTACAGTCTCATTCTTTGTGGGTAACCCTGTATACGCTGTGACTGTTGTATACAATATGCATATATACCAAGATTATCCAGACATAATCTATTGGATTTTAAATAAGAAAATATATTTTCCACGTTCATTGAGTCGTGAGCTAATGGAGCAGACTAATGGCTCAGCTCACGCTGGATTAGATAGAATTGGCTCAGTGGTTGAGCTAATAACAGTACAATAAACAATGTGCAGTACTTCTACTTTAATCTTTATTATAATTGGTCTTCTATACACATACTTAATGTCCAAACAGGGGGGGGGGGTCGTTGCTTTAAAAATAGTTTACATGATTCTAAAAACTATCTCGGGATTGGTTGAAATCTCTTTGCTAATGATCTTGGATCTGTACTTGAAGCATCGGTATTTTCTTCTCTTGAAACAGGTTCAGAAATACGGGATGGAATGCTGTAGTGACTAAAGTTGGTTTGACTGAAGAGCTGGGATTGGTCAGGACTCTGGTAATGTGATTGGTTATGATTATCAAAGTCTGAATGATAGAGAATATTGTAATTTAATTGGTTAGAAATATTAAAATCAGTTTCCAGACACTGTAAATGAGGTCCTCTGATCTGTGATTGACTTGGAATATGTGATTGGTTTGGAATCCCTAGGTGTGATTTACCTCGACTATGTGGTTGATTTGGAATCCCTAGCTGTGATTGACTTGGAAGCTGAAATTGGTCTGGAATCACTAGTTGTGATTGACTTGAAATATGTGATTGCTGTGCAATCCAAAGCTCCAACTGCCCATTGGGTGGGTGGTAAACTTCACTAGAATTATGATTTTGAGCTTGATGATTCTGAATTTGATGATATTGAAGATAAGGCTGGCTCTGAGGATAAAATTGAGTTTGATGGTTGCCCAGGGTTTGCTGCAAACATGGAGCAGGATTAAGTTGATTCTGGTGGTAGAAATGATTGCTGTGTCTCCATGGTATAGGATTAGGATCAACCTGGTATATATTTTCATTTGTACCCACTCTGTGCATTGATTGATTGATTGAAACAATCAGATCGTATTGAGATGCTGAACCATTATACGCAACATCGTTGTTATTGTTGTTGTTTACAGGGTAATTGCTGTTGGTGTTTAAGGGCAGGGATAGGTTGGATGAGGAAGTAGACACAGTTCTTGTTTCTGATTGGCTGGGGGAGGATTCAGATCTGTGTTCTGATTGACTGTCCGACTTCCTACTCTCCTCTGATTGGCGGACCACAAAACATCCAAATTTTGAATCTTGAACCTGAAAATACTAGATTTAGAGATTATCAAAATTTTCCTTTGAGCACTGACATTGTAAAAAGTATGAGGTGTCAGTGTTGCAAGATGTGCAAAATTATAAATTTTAATTTCAAGTTTCTGAACAGGGTATGAATAGTATAATATGCAATTTTATCAGCATAATAATAGGAATTAAGACTGAGTAATAATGAGCTAAGAAAGAGGAGGGGGGGGACGGGGGAAGGGCGGGCATTGCAGCTTGGGTTTAAAGGGATTGACCGGCAAGGAGATAAAGTTGAGCTGAGTAGTATTACAATAAACTATTTGGATTCAATGAAATCAGTAATACCGTAAGAACCACAAAACTCTGGAATAGTAATACGGTGTTTAGACTCAAGTTATGACTTTAAAAAGCCAAATGAACATTAGGCACATCAATTTCGTCTTTTTATTCCATAGTTTCCTGGTTCCTCTGAATGTTATTACTTTGTATAACTGGTGAGTAATTACAAACGTTTTTCAAATGAAAATTGAAAAACGTTTTTACTCTCTTTCTTTGCAATTTGATAAAGTAAAAACATTTTACTAATTTTATTCTGCAATACTGCGGTCTCAGCTGGACTACCCCTCCTGCGCGGTCACTCCCTTTAAAACGTAAAAACAGAAGTTTATCTTTAAACTATATCCCAATATTACAGTTGTATGGAGGTTTAATTCTTTACGATTTTTAAACAGAATCTCAATGTGATATTGGCGTACACCATTTTGTGTGGGAGAGAAAATCCTTGAAAATTATTTTAACTTGATCCGGCTTTTGCTTATTTAATCAAATAATTCAAGTTTATTTAGATTTTATGCTATTTGCAATGGAAGATATTTAAATCTATAGTTGAACACATTTTCGACTTGTAGTTAATATCATTGAGGTCGAATTAAATTCTACAGGGCGTCCCAATAAACAAGTAAAGTAAAAAGAAATTGATTATTTTAAATTGTCGTTTTTCCTCGGAGAGAATAAACGACAATATCTTCCACATAGTTTCTCAGATCTAGCTTTAAAGGGTACCTTTATGAATCATACATGCCACTCTAAAAAAGAGGATTATATGAAACTACGCCAACAGTCTCTTTAAGGTGCATAAAAAAGTTATCGCTGGGGAAAAATGTTTTTAAAATTCATTTTTTTCTTCCCTTGGCGTTTCTCTTGAAAAAGGAAAAAATAACTTCCTAAAAATATTTACTACAGAGCTTTAAAATAGAGCAAAACGATTTTACAGGGTTACCCAGAATAGTTGAGATATCATTGACATTTTTACATATCTTATTCAGACTTTAAAATCCGTTTCATTTTTTGTGATTAGCCCTGTTTCATTGATTTTGTTAACATAGCATCCTTTGATGCCTTTCATGGATAGATTTTAAATATTGAATCCTTTCATTCCTTTCATGGATAGATTTTAAATATTGAATCCTTTCATTCCTTTCATGAAAAGAATTTAAATATTTAATCCTTTCATTCCTTTCATGGATAGATTTTAAATATTGAATTCCTTTCATGGATAGATTTTTAAATATCCAATCCTTTCATTTCTTTCATGGATAGATTTTAAATATCAAACTCTTTCATTCCTTTCATGGATAGATTTTAAATATCAAACTCTTTCATTCCTTTCATGGATAGATTTTAAATATCCAATCTTTTCATTCCTTTCATGGATATATTTTAAATATGCAATCTTTTCATTCCTTTCATGGATAGATTTTAAATATCGAATTCTTTCATTCCTTTCACGGATATATTTTGAATATCCAATCTTTTCATACCTTTCATGGATAGATTTTAAATATCCAATCCTTTCCTTCCTTTTATGGATAGATTTTAAACATCCAATCCTTTCATTCCTTTCATGGATATATTTTAAATATCCAATCCTTTCATACCTTTTATGAAAAGAATTTAAATATCCAATTCTTTCATTCCTTTCATGGATAGATTTTAAATATCGAATTCTTTCATTCCTTTCATGGATATATTTTAAATATCCAATCCTTTCATTTCTTTCATGGATAGATTTTAAATATCCAATCCTTTCATACCTTTTATGGATAGATTTTAAATATTAAATCCTTTCATTGCTTTCATGGATATATTTTAAATATCCAATCCTTTCATTCCTTTCATGGATAGATTTTAAATATTAAATCCTTTCATTCCTTTCATGTATAGATTTTGAATATCGAATCATTAATTGAATTCATTCAACCCTTTCTAACCGTATGAAAACACACTAACGAGCAACTGTACATTAAGAGGGTGTCAAAAAAACACAATTTTTCATTTTTATAAAATATTAGGGGTAGAATAAATCTTTGATAAGACTTTAAATAACAAAATTTTACTTTTCTTTAAAAAATGCATGCATGTTTTAGACACCCTATATATATTGTTTTAAGATCGACCTTAAAGATATAAGAGATAAAAAAAGTTGTAGTAATCTATCATCATTAATTAAACAGCTTAGACCTATCCTTCCTATCCTTCCTATTCAGGGGTTTAACGCTAATCGATCAGGGTTTTTAAGAGCAGAAAAAAGATTTGAAGGTCCTTTTAAATACTGGATATAAAAGATGCAGCAAATTTCAAAGACGACCTTAAACTTAAATTAAATCTCTGCTTTAACAAATAAACATATAAACTCCTGAGTCTTGTGAAAGTTACAATGTGGTTTACTGTATATCTTGCAACAAACCTAGTTGCCACAATATACAATATATTGGAGAAACAGGAAGGAGATTAGCTGATAGGTTTAGAGAACATATAGGTTATGTAAAAAATGCTAATTTGACACAACCTACTGGAAATCATTTCAAACTTCCAGGACATACACTATCAAATATGAAAGTTACAGTTCTTGAAAAATGTAAAGAAAACAATCCAACATATCGGAAGATCAGAGAATCATATTTTATCAACCAGTTTAACACAACAGCAAAAGGACTAAACAAAAAAAGATGATACAACTTTATGTTGTGGCTTTAGTGTGGTTGTTTTCTGTTTAACTAATTTAGTCTTTGTTGTTGTTCTATAGTTGTTTTTCTTATATGCTAATTGCAATATTTAAAAAAAATAAACATACGTTGCCCCCTCCCCCACAAATTCAAAACTCGGATTTTCGTATCTGTGTCGGTCAACCTATTCTCCTAACCCCCACCCATCCCCCAACCCTTAATTCAATGAACATTTCTTTCAGTTTTGACAATACCACACTTTTCATTTTTTTCATTCCACTTCAAAAAAAACCCTCCTCCCCTAATTTGCTTACTTATTTACAAATATCTAGAAAGTATTTGTTACATTATCTTTATTTTTATTTGTAATAATTTTGGTCATTTTCTGTAGGACTGATGAGGATATGAAATATATCGAAATTAATTTCCAAACCCGAGTTTTTCTACCTGTGAGAGTGAAACCTTTTTTTGCCAGTTTGGACAATTTACATTTAAACTTTAAATGGTTTATTTAGTGAATTGTTAAAGAAAAAAAACAAATTTACAGTTGTAGGAAATCATAATATAAGGATACACACAGTATAAATGCCGTAGAGGTCGTATATTAACTCTCATTCTTTGTGGGTTATCCTGTATTTTTTAAAAGTGACTGTTGACGAAATATGTAAGAGACTCTCCTTTAACTTTAACCCTGTATCTGAGTATAACAATAAGGTCTAAGGATGATATTGTCGATTTAAAAATAAAGTTGGTTTGAAATTTTGTAAAGTTTGTAGGAGGGATTTAAAATAATTTTTAGATAAAATTAACGTATTCTGTTCATAATTTTAAAAAAACTTTCCGTAATTTTGAAATGCTTCCAATATTACACACAAAATATTTAAACAGGTAAAAAACTTGTCTATGATACTTGTTTTAAGTTTCAATTAAAATTGAGAAAATCTCATGAAAAAATACCTTTCTAATATAGCAGAATGAGATGAGAATGAGGGAAAGGATTCCAGAACTTGAAACAATCACAATAATGACGATCTTCTTGCGATCATTAATGTCAGTGGAGTGCTCCACCTTCACCCCTTCCAACCCATCGATCTTCTCATTATGCTCGGCTTCATTTTTAACCTCTTCATTCTCCACTACCTCCCCATCAACTCTTTCTGGCTCCATGAAATTGTCTTTTTCTTCGCTGGAAGATTGATTGATTGATTGACTGTTATTCAATGACAATGCATTCTGCTCTGTGATTGGCTGAACAAAACCGTTCTTCTCTATGATTGGTCGAGCCAAATCTTCCGGCAAACCACGTGGTGACAATTCCTTTTTAGATTGTGAAGCTGCTTCTATGGATTGTGAAGCGAAAGGGAGCAGGTCTGTTTGGATTAAAGGCTTAGAGTTGGATCCAATCGAGAGGCTTGATCTAACTGTTTCCTCACTCAGAAACTTTTCTCTGAAATTATTAATCTTATTATTTTTAACCTTATTTTTTAACAAATTTGATACAAAGCAATGTCAGATTTGAAATTGGTTTTCAAACTATTTACATTTTATCAAATTACTGATTTTTTTATCTGTGCCTTTTCTAACCTGAGTCCTGAAAAGGCTTTAAATTAAGGGATACTTGCCATGGTCGTTTAAAGGTTAAAATTCTAAATTTTAAGATTTTACAAAAGAGATGAATTTTCCAGGTTACCTTGGGTCCCAAAGATCTCTGATCTCTATGTCTCTGAAGGTTACCTTGGGTCCCAAAGATCTCTGATCTCTATGTCTCTGAAGGTTACATATATATATGTTTCTCTAGTCCTGGCATTTTTTTTAGGTGTGGTCTCCCATTTATTTTTGTGCTGTCAATAATAGCGGGGATATTGAAAGCACAAAAATGGCACACTAATGCTAGGGGTATTTTTTAATAATTTTATCAAGAATTTTACTTCTAATTAATTAGGTTTAAGATTGAATGTCGCAAATCATTTTTAAGATCAAAGACGACCTTCAAGTCGTCTTGCTAATCACCCCAGACAAACCAGAGTGAGCAGTATTAGTTTTTTGTTCAAAATCAAACGTGTTTTGATCCATAATTCAACAATCTTTTAACTTACGGATTTGTTTATTCTATTCTGTTTTTCATTAAAAATATAATTGCCGACAAAAAAGTATTTCAGATGAAAGGCTAAAAAATGATTTTTAATGGGTCAAATTGTAATCGAAAGTAACAGCTTTCTGGAATATTGACATTAAGGTTAAATCCACGTGTACTGTCATGTCTTGTTAGACGTAGGGACGTAGTATGTTCTTTAATTTTTATGTACACCACTGTACTGTTATTTACATGCACTTAATTTTACTGTAATTTAAAAATATTTAACTTTACTGTAATTTACAAATACTCAACTGTAAATGTAATTTACATGAATAAAACTTTATTGTGCTCTACCTGTACTCAACTATACTGTAATGTATGTAAAAAATTGTACTGTAATTTACTTGTAATCAACTTTACTGTAATTTAAGTGTACTCAACTGTACTGTAATTTACCTGCACACACGTGTACTGCACCTCCAGGTATTTAGGTGTACCAGGACAACTGTCTCCGAAAACTGTAACAGAAGGGTCGATTGAGCAACTTCGTAGTTCCGAACACCTTAACAAAACTGTCATTATTATCAGTGTTGTCATTTATGCCATAAAATCGATGGTGATCTCATATTGAACGTACTCTTTTACGTTCAAATATTATTATCAGAGATGAAAGTAAAAGTATTATAATTATTATTTTAATCATTATATCTGCAACAGTAATTTTAGGTGTAAGCAAATCAACCTTAATGAGAGCATTCTTGTGTGCTGGGTTACAAACAACTAAAAAGAGAAAAATATAAAGACTGTAATAATAACGATAGTTAAATGCAAAAAAGGTATTATGAGTCTTGACTACAAACTAAAATGTTCTAATCCCTATATTAAGGTGTAAGCTCTTTATATTTAAATCTTAAATTATTCTAACAAACAGAATTCAGAGTAAGAAATATATAAGGTCTCCCACATTGTGTTGCGAAAATATAAGAATTAGAAAATCAAAGCTTGTGGCAAAGACTCAATTCCTTTAAGTAAAAAATATATCTCATTCTATTTGAATAACCTTGCATTAAATCCAAACAAAATGTCTGCGTGTGTGTTAGGATGTTTGTATGTGTTCAAAAAAGGCAAAACAGCTGAACCGAAAGTTTATGGATGGTCAGGGTTTAAAAGTAATCATTCAAAAGTGTTGCTTTGCATTTTCAAAATGAAAACAAACAAAAATCCACGAAATTGTCTTAATTAAAATAAAGTTCACAGGTAAAAACAATATTTTAAAGATATGATTATTAATTATCCTTTCATACGGCCGTTAATAAAATTCCAAATAATTTTATTATCAAAATAATACAAATTTTAAAATAAAATTTTACGATTTATAGTATTTATAATTGTAGAGTGCCATGTTCCATTCACTAAGGTACCCTTTAAAATTTAAACAATGAAAAAGATATCGCTTTTTTTCTGTTTTAAAAAGATATAATTTCTTATAATTTCTCTCTTGCAGAAATATGCAAGTCACATTTTCAGAGAAATAGAAATATCAAATAATCAATTTTAAAAAACTAGAAAACATAGAATGTATAATTCATCCATCATAAGACTATGGATTACAGGGTACCCCTGTGAATCCGACATGCCACTCAAAAATAAAGGCCACTTGAAATTACGACCTAGTCGTAAATTATTTTTTGTCATGATTATAAATATATTTTTGTTGAGACGCCCATTTGATTTTATCAAAACAATGTATGCATGATTATCTTTAATAAGTCTTGCAACCCATGAAGGTGCAAAAAAGGTCAACCTAATCACATTTCTAATTATTGCACATGCCAATTTGAAAAGATTAATTAAGGGCATAGTTCTTCTATTCTTTTTTTCAAGGACTTAATTCATAGATTAATTAATAATAACAGATATAACACTAGATGTCGTCTTTTCAAGATCAAGGGGTTTTTTATTAATAATAACCCTGAGACAGAAGCCCAAATGAGTTACGCGTATGCGGCGTTGAATTTCAATTAATCTATGACTTAATTTATCAATAGTTTTTTTTACTAATTTCATCTTCTTATCTTTAAGATCTTAGTGATGGCTAAATATATGATCGTAAAAAAACAAAAATTTGTTGAGAACGAGTTTTAAACATGGAAGAAACTGATTTTAAATAAACAAAAAACTAGAACTTGGCAAATCGGCATCTGAAACCAATCAACGTTGAAAACAAAGGAAATGTAAACTTGATGGGCCTTTCAGATATGTTGATTTAACCAACTATTAACTGATTATAAAAACTATAAATATCGTCCCTAGCCCTAGCTCGTACAAGGAATTTTGTATGAATCAAAAAGTATCAATAATACTTTAGCTGTACCCTGACCCATTGTTTATAAACTGTTTTATCTAGAATTATGTAAAGCGGAATTTCTGAGAATTAGACAGGGGAAGGACCCAGGAATGTTTTTTGACTGAAGGTTGTATAATGAGCAGAAAATCTTTAATTTCTTGTCACAACAGATTTGTCAAGTTAATTACTGACGTTTCCCTTTGTCCTTCAAAAGATACTGGACAATACCCCCCATCCCCCTTCCCCCTCCCCCCCCCTCCCATACCCCATTTGTCCTATTCTCTAAACAAGCAAATAAGTTTGGGTTAAAATGCTTAAAATCATGTTGAAATTATTCCTTTTAAAATGTGACTGTTGTTGTAGTTATAAGTGGAAAAGTGTTTAATCCTGACAATTTCCACCATTGTTTCTTAATAAGAAAAGCAAAACTCTTTTTACCACTATAGTTTAAGTATAAGTAGATATTTCCAGTTACTGTTAGCGCCGATTAAAGGATTTATATCTCTAATTGGATAATGAGATAGATATAATGTTACCGCTATACAATTTCTATTGGTTCAGAATAAACAAGAAACACATGACTGAACCCCGATTGGATCAGGCGTTAATGGACTTGGCATACAAGTGTATTACACAGAAACCCAACCAGATATAATCGATTTTCAAAGAGAAAATAAGACATACTTCATATATTGTTAATTAGACAAAGCTTTTAGCGGTACCGTTGTGAACTGGTTTCAACTTGAGATGATTTTTATTTAAACTATTTCTTAATTTAAATGATAATTTGTAAAATGTAAAAATTAATCTTTAGTATGTAGATATAAAAATACATGAATCCAAACGTTCATGAATTAAAACCACGTTTTCAATTTTAAAAATGCCAATAAAATGAAATATTCAGTTGAAAAAATGTCTTGAAATCGTAGTTCGTAAAAAAAATATTCAATTTATGAGTTCTTATTGTTTTTCGGGTTTTGTGCAATGTGAATATCTTCTGTTATTTAATAGTTTAAAATCACTTCAAATAATTTGCCATAAACATGCGAATTTTGGACGTTTTAGCTTTTTTTTGAACAGTCCAAGCAGCATGGAAGGAACCCAACCCTAGTCATGATTTATCTGCAAAAAGTGTGTAGAGTGTAGAGTCACACAAAAAGATTGCTCAAGATAAACACTGCGTGACACAGATAAAGTTAAAATATTCATTTTGCATTAAGCTTTCGGTTCGTACTGCACTGACTGAAGAAATAGTAGATTTTAGAGGAGAGTGGGGGGCAGGAGGGGGGTCATGGCATGGCACTTAAAAGAAATCCCTCTTGTTCATTTTTAACAACTATTTAGAATTTTAAAATTAAAACTCATAAAATCACAATTATTTACTTACATGTTTTGTACAAGGTTAACTGTACTGTATGATGTACAATGCGTAGAAATATTGGTTAACCCCTTTGGGTTACAAACAGATATTGAGAATCTTCCATAGTTTGCTCGTACAACAGATATTATCTTCTCCGCTTCACATTCTAGCCGCAGTGTTTCACCACAACTGTACTGCTTGTGTACTTGTTTATCTGTACAGTGTACGGCAGATATTAACACGGAGTAGAAAAGTAGCAGTAACATGATTCACATGGTTTAATTCAGAACATGGAGACGTTCTCACTCCTTAAAGGTTGGTTTACAACTGACGCAAAGTGTGTAAACTTTAAATACCGTTGCGTCGAGTTGGGTCGTACTCGTAGGATTGCCTAGGCGACCCGGTACAAAATATTTAAGGTGGTTCTATAGTTGGTTGGTAGGAAAACCAGGGCTATCAAGTTTAAACTAAATAGATAAAAGTCCTTTAATAGGACTGTAAGCGTAATTTCAAGTGAGCCTTCATGTAAAGATGGCAATGCCTGATTTACAACAGTACCCTTGAAACCTTTATCTGATCAATAATATGGGAGATATTGTTGTTTTTCTAGTTCTAGATTGTAAAATGTTTTATAATCTGTTAATTTCTGTATATTTTCCTGCCGTAGAAATGCGCAAGTCACTTTTGAAGAAAAACCGCAATTGAAAATAATCAGTATTCTAAATTATATACATATTAATATCTAATTCTATACTTGATAAGGCAAAGCTTTTCAGGGGGTACCATTGTGAATCAACATTGCAATCTTTGCAGGGAGGCCGGAGGGTCATAATAAATTTCCCTTACATTCCCTTTAAGTTAAAGAGAGTTAAAAAAAACTAGACCTTTTAAGATTAAACCCCATTTTCTCGTTTGGAGATTTTCACACTTTTAAAAAATCTAAATTCTAAATTTAATTTTTAAGTTTATGTGAGGTTCTAAAAATATTTGGGCACCATCGGTTCAGCCTTTTGGCGTTTATTTGTAATATATAAATAGATATATATATACACACATATATATACATGATCTGTATTTTAAACTTGGATCATGATAATGCATTTCTAGGAATAATTAGTTTGGTATAATTATCATCTGATGATCTCGGCACAGTCATCATTATTCCAACTTTTTCCTTAGCATAATTCAACATTGTAATTGAAGGGGCTGAAACCAAACCACTAGTTATCTTAAAGGGACTGAAACCTATCTTCTAGATATTATAGTTATCTTAAAGAGGCTGAAACCTAACCAGTAGTTATCTTAAAGGGGCTGAAACCAAACAACTAGTTATCCTAAAGGGACTCAAACCTAACCTCTAGTTATCTTAAAGGGACTGAAACCTGACCTTTAGTTATCTTAAGGGACTGAAACCTAATCTCAAGTTATCTTAAAGGGACTGAAACCTGACCACTATATATCTTAAAGGCACTGAA